CCACCAAGTGGTCTACCACTTGAGTCATCCGGTCTACCACTTTCGAAAATGGGTCGACCTTATGACACACTTACCTTCAAGTGGTCAACATCTTCCACCAAGTGGTCAACCACTTTCCAAGAAAATGGTTGACATCTTCCACCATGTGGTGTACCACTTGAGTCAACTGGTCTATCGCTTCTTGAAATGGGTGGAGTTGATGACACAATTACTTTTAAGTGGTCGACCGCTTCCACAAAGTGGTCAACCACTTTCCAAACAAATGGTTTACCACTTCCACGAAGCAGTCTACCACTTGAGTCAACCAGTCTACCGCTTCTAACAATGGGTCGACCTATGACGCACTTACCTTCAACTTACACTTGCTTGTTGGAGGAGGTAGACCGCTTTCGCCAAAATAACCCACCGATTCCGCAAAATGGTTTACAAACCTCTTTCAGCGTACGATCGCTGTTGTCGGCGAACAGTCGACCAGATGACACGGTTACCTTATACTTACATTAGAAAAATAATGGGCAATAAGAGACCAACAATATAAAATTGTTTTGTAGTAACGCAACATTCTATCACCTGTGGCAACCAAATCCCTAGGCAGATTATAGGCCAGGATAAAAAGAAACACCGTCTTTAAACTCTTCTGGAATAAAAATTCACAAAACGATAATATGAGATTTATGGACGTTGAAGATGACACAATTGTGTAACAAATATACTCTACTTTTTTTAGCATCTTCATAACAACAATAGCAACAAATCAACGAAGTTGATCCATCATCCATCACAAGACAACTATAGGATAGAACAAGCTAACTTAGAATTTGAAGGAAAGATGAAAGTCTCTATAAAGTAAGTCAAATATAAGAAATAAATATGCGAAACATTATTCAAATCTACGGGAGTTCAATCACTCGAGAAACTTATCATTTATGCTTGCAGCCTTTGTACTAATTTAAATATCTTACTAGCAAGCATATCTATTGTTATTGTACTCTAATTATATACGATGATATCACTAATAATGGTTCATCAGGTGGACCAATTATTGAAAGAGGTGGACCTCTTGGGGAAAGATGAGACCACTTGATGGAAGTGGTAGACCACTTTTCTGTATAGTGGACGACTTTTTAGTGAAAGAGGTTGATCGTTTGTTGAACATAGGAAAATGGAAAATAGTACATCTGGTCGACCATTTCAAAAATGAGGTCCATCATTTTGTCCAAATAGGCCGACCATATCAGTGAAAAGGTCGACTTGTTTGTCCAAATAGGTCAACCAAATCAATGGACATGTCAACGGTTTTGTGCAAGTCACAGTCACTTGCAAGTCACCGTAGCAAAATTCTAAAAAAAATTCATAATAGAAAATATATCATGGACATTATTATAATTTGGACTAGTTAGATATTTTCTTATTTAATAATATTTTTTTAATGACTATTTTAATTTAATAGAACTTTGGGAAAGAGACATCCCTATATAAAAATTCGAGATCCTTTACTGTCGGGGGTATTCGAAAACTGCGGATACAAAAATGGGATTGCAAAATGTTCATTCGCATGAGTATGGAATGAATATAGACTTGAGTATTTAAAAATCAGAATTCGGATGATTTAGCGAAATCAGTCCCAAACCTGCCATTCATTGCAACAATTATTATTTGTTTACCAACATTCATTGTAACAATTAGAATTGAGATTATTTTGATCAATTAGCCGTCAAAAAGGAGAAATGGAAAATGAAGGTGGTGGTGGTGGTGGTGGTGGTGGACCGGTGGTGGGTGCGGACTGCGGACGACGGAGGAGGGGAGGGAACAAAGTCAGGATCAAGGGTGGGGCGGTCCGTCCGTCCACCCAGACCCAGGGACAAATCACAAAAAGATTCCCCCAATCTCTACCTTATTACTTATAAAGATGGTCTCTTTTTCTCTTTCCATTCCCATCTCCGCTGGACCCATTTCGCCATTTCCCTCCATTCCTCTACCTCTGACCCCTCTTTCAGATCCCCTCTCTCTCTCTCTCTCTCTCTCTCTCTCTCTCTCTCTCTCATAGTCTCGCATATCATGATCTTCAGCCAGTGTGATAATTAGTAACAGCCCCCACATTTCCTTTGGGCTTTCCCAATTCCTTCTCTGCCTTGTTGACCCAGGAAAAGAGTAAGTAATGGGGGAGGCGGAGGCGGAACGGAGTCCGGTGGAGATGCCGGCGACGGAGGATGAGAAGGTGAAGAAGGAGGAGGCAGTGGCTGTGGATGATGAGTTACAGAAGCGGCCCATTCACGTCCTTGTGGTTGATGACTGCTCTCTTGACCGCAGAATTGTTGGCAAGCTCCTTCAAAAAGCATCCTTCAAAGGTTTCTCCATTCTGCTAATTGCAATTTTGTTAATGACCATGTTTCCATCATTTATGAGCTGTCTGTGTTCCCTGTGTAGTAGTTGTTTCTCTTGATTTTTGGGTATTTTTGTGTGGGTACTGTGCTGCGATTTTGAATCTGAATGAAAGAAGGAATTTTTTGGCAGTGACCAGTGTTGAAAGCGGGAAGAAGGCTATGGAGGTTCTTGGGTTGGATATTGTTGATGTTCATCAAACAACAACAGAAACTGCTAATGCTGACTCAGTGGTGGATGATTGCAGCTCTACTCTTAACAATGTGAGCCTCCCAAGTTCCAGACCCCAAACTGTCTTATTGTGCTTGCCTTACAATACCTGGTCTTAGCAAATGGTTCAACACTGAATTTGAGCTGATCTTTTGTTTCCACATGTGATGGAAAAGAGAGAATGTTCTTGATCCCCTTAAAGTTGTAAGCTTTATGGCCCAAGGCTGCCTCTGTCCAAGCTACTTTGTTTCATGGTTGGAAAATAGGGCATTTGTGAGAGTGAACTGCATATGAAATAAATGTAATACCATGTGATCTGTGGAGTGTGGAAAGAAACATTGTGGTCTTTTGCAGCTGTATGACTAGCTAATTCATATGAATGCACCTGTTCTTGTTAGATGTTACTGTATCTGGATGGTTGATCAGTATGATTTTCTGCTTTGTCAGGACAATAAGATTGATTTGATCCTCACAGACTATTGCATGCCTGAGATGAATGGCTATGATCTTCTAGTGGCAGTCAAGGTAAAAGAAACTGAAGCAATGTCCATTCCCCTTTCGGTTATTAATGAAAGTCAGCTATCTTTGCTACTTATCTGTGAGAAATATACAATTCTTCATCTTGATTGACAGAAACACAGTGAAAGGAAGGCTACTCCTCCTGTTGTGATATTGTCATCCGAGTATAATCCACAGAGAATCAGCAGGTAATATTTATAATTATCTGGAGTACTTTGGAGGGTAATAAGCTCGTAAAAGTTTTATGATTGGTGTCTGAACATAAAATGCATTCCTTTTTACTGAATCTAAGATACTTAGCCTCATGAAAGTTTTGTAAGCTATGCAATGGCTGTGGCAGAGAGCAAAAAGAAGGGGATACTAGAACTCTCTGTAGTCGAGCTAAAACTGGCTCCAAATATGTTTCTTTCTAGTGATACTAGAGCATTTGAACGTGCTTTTGTTGCATTTATGTGGTTTAATCTTATCTTCTTTTTCGGCAGTTGTCTTGAGAGTGGCGCAGAAGAATTTCTGCAGAAGCCTCTGAAGCCAAAAGACATGGAAAAGTTCCGAACTTACGTTGCATCAGCAGCAGCCACATTAACAAGGTCAGGCACAAAGAGGAAAGCCGTAATGGAGTTGACATCAGAGAACAATTCCAATGAAAGGCTGCCTCGAATGGCTGGAGTGACTGTCGCTTAACAAGATTTTCCTGAAAACCCCTTTATTGAGCATCTGTCTCTCCTTAGAAGCAAAAGAGGTGACTAACTATGCTGCATACGGAGGACAGAAGCTTTGCTTCTGCAAACATTTAGTTTAGAATTGTGGTCTGGGTTTTGTGTCTGGCTGGGAAAAGACCACATCTTTCTGCGAGCTTTGTTTGTGTTTATGGTTTGTCACGATCACATTGTTGTCTGTATTAGACTGATTGTCAATCATATGTGTTCATAGTAATTTACTCTTACATGGTGAAAGAAGTATCTTTTCTTTTTTACAGTAGTGCTGTATATATAGAGCACCAATTCAGTTCAAAGCAGTGATGTTTTGGTACAAACCCACTATGAAATTTAGCAATATGAACATGGCAGCATCTTCCCCAGTCACTTCTATTATCTTCCTTCATAAAGTCGCAATGAGGTTGACTCAGAAGGTGAGCTAGGATGGCCCAAGGGCAGAGAAATGCAGCTCCTTTCAATCTCTCCTCCAGCATAAAGAAGATGAACACCACACTTCTGCACAGGAAACCAAGCCGAGAAGTATCTGGAATCAGTCTGCTCAGGATAGAACTTGAATGTGGCAGTCCGGTAAACACGAGAGTCATTCTTGTTCTGCTTCTGATGATGGTCTCTTCCCCGGAGTAGTCTATGGCACATGCTGAAGTCATATCGTATCACCACATGATCAGCACAAGTGAATTCCCTCTTGCCATGTATCGTCGAGAACCCCAACCTGCAGCAGAGAATGTCATGGCTATCTCGACCATTTGCTGTTATCAAACTGCATTGGCAACCGACATCCGTTGCGCCAAAGATCTTGCGGTCCTTGGTTGTAATGACTGCGCTTAGTGCAAATCCCAAGAACTCGGAGTTAAGCCAGTCTGGAGGGAGATTTATGGTTATAGAAGAGCCATTTGTTTGGTATCTAAACCACCTTGGAATCTTTCTTGCAGGGTAGCAGATGCTGTTTGAAGGCAATGAATGAATCCCCTGCAGCAAATATACAAAAAATTCGGACAAACTTTCAAAAAATCGACCCATTAGGAATAAACTACATAATAAATGGGGCTTGTTTACATAATAAAGGGGGCTTGTTTATTAGAACAACATAGTACAGGACTAAAACTCTATTACCCAGAAAGGAAAGAACAGACTGAGGCAGAGAGGATACCTGCTGATAATTTATCACAGCTGCTACCGCCGCATGATGAATCCTAACAAATGAGTCAGCCTCGATATTACTATTATTGTTTTCATATAACTTTGAACAATTGGCGAATGAGAACATTTGAAGATGACAACTGTTTACAAACACTTTCCCCATTGGAATGGCATATGGAGAAGGCATCCTTTCGAGCGAAACACAATCATTGGCATTCAACATATTGACGGCCAAAGGAAGCTCAGGCAAAGATCTAATCCGTCTGCAATTGCTCAGCACGAGCTTCTGCAGCTGAGTTAGCAACTTAATGCTGGAAGGTAAAGCCTCAAGCTTTGAGCACCCTGAGATAGAAAGGGTTTTCAAAGATTTCATCTTCCCAATGTTACTTGGAAGATACTTGAGCCTTTTACAACGGTTCATCCCCCAAAAGTTGAGTCTCGAAAGACTCTCGATCGATTCAGGAAGCTTGCGTATGGCAGTCGAGTTTAAGCTCAGATGTTCTAAGCTCCATGGAATGTCTTGCAGGTATCTTAATTTGGAGCATCCAGAAAGGTTTAGCTTCTTGAGTGTCTGCAAATGAGCACAACTTGGCATGCATCTTAAGGTTTTGCAATTTTCCATTGTCAGGACAACAAGCTCTCTTAGGAACTTGATGGATGATGGAACTCTAACCAGCCTTGAACAGCCTTCGAGGTTCAAACTCTGCAGATTTGGTGCTGATGAGAGGTTCGGGAAGCTGGTTAGATAACGGGAATTGCTGAGGTCAATTGTATGCAATTTTTCCAGACGCTGGTGAAAAGAAATGGAACCACAAACTTGAGCAGGCAATCAAGGAAAGAACAGAATGCAAGCTTCTGAGTGCAATAAATACCTGGTTTCTCTCCCAAAGCGCCTCAACATGACTCGATGGCAAGCTAAGTTCAACGAGGTTAGCTGTTCTACCACTGGATGGCAAAGACTTCAGAGGGCATCCATCCCAGTATAGATAGCTCAATTTGTCAGAAATAGACTCCAACCCTTCTGGTAGAAAAACTTTGCTAACGCCCCTGCTGTCAGAATTGTAAAACTTCAGCAGTCTCAAGTTATGCATTCTTGCAAATGCATTATGACTCAACTTCACCCTCTTTATCTTGGCCATGTCCAAGAATATCCCTTCAATCACTTCAGTTCCCTGACAAACAACAGAAATGGTAGAACTAAATTCAACAAAGTTATGCCGAAAACTTCTGTCTTTTTTTTTCAAAAAAATTGTTGCTCTTACTGTATTTTCGGTGAGCACATGGTAGACATCTTCAGGATTCCAGAGCCTAGTGCGTTTACCAGGCTCCTTAAGAGATTCCTGTCGAACGATTTCCCTACCCATTTGCTGCAACAAACTATGCATCCTTAGCTTGTTGTCCAAGACAGTGATGAGAGACTTATCAATAAGAACTCGTATACCAATATCCGCAGAGAAGCCGCAGCCAAACAGGACACGTGTAACAAAAGCCTTATGTTCCCCAACAAAGAAGCAAGCAATGTCAAGGAATATATCCTTCTCTTCATCATCCAAACCATCATAACTCGTCCTTAAGACACTCTGAATTTCCGGTCTCGGAATTCTATCTATCTTCTGCAAGAAAGATATCCATTCGGTCTTGGTCTTGCGAAACAAGGACGATCCCAGAACTTTCAGTGCCAATGGGTTGCCACGTGCATAGTTAGCTGCTCTTCTCAATGTCTCCACATGATCAGTCCTATCAAACTTTCTTCTTCTAAATGCTTTTGAACTGAAGAGTTGAAGAGCTTCATGGTCATTCAACCCCTCAACATTGTACATCTCATCTACTGCAGTGTCAAGTACTTCCATGTCTCTACTGGTTATGATGATTCTACTCCCTGGTCCAAACCAATCATGGTCTCCAGCTAAACTCTCCACCTGCCTTGAATCACTCACATCGTCAAGAACAATGAGCACCCTCATTCGACTAAGCCTGCTCCTAATGAAACGACTTCCTACATTCACATGTTGCTCTTCTTCCAGTAACCTGGAGAGGAGCTCCACATTCAACCTGGCGAGTCCATGGTTTTCACACTCTTCTTTCACATTGGTGAGAAAGCAGGAAGCATCGAATTCAGATTTGATTTTGTCAAACAACAATTCTGCGAGGGTCGTTTTCCCAATCCCTCCCATGCCCCAAATCCCTATAAATTGAACAGTGTGTGGTGACGAACCAGTGCAGAGCAATGATTCAATTCTCTCGATCCGTGAGTGGACTCCCACAAAACCCCTTGATTCCCATGAAGATATGCAATCCAGCCTCTTCATTACATGCTTGACTATCTCCTGAATGAGTCTGCATTCTGGCCTACCAAAACAGTTCGGGAAACAAATGGATTACTACGATGGTGGATCAAGAAAAGAAAAAAGAATCGACATTTGATTCATGCAAAATCGAGATTTACCTAATGTCAAGGGAACTCCAACCAGACAAATCAGCAGCTTCAACCAAAGCAGCTCGCCACCTCTGAACCTTAACCTTGTCCTTACACCCCTCCTCTAACAACCGAAATCCATCCCCAAAGCTTCCAGTTTGTGAAGCTACATCCGAAGGATCGACACAGTAGAAAACAGGCAAAACAATTGCGCCCATTACCTTCTTGCAGTCGAGGATCTTCACCAGCTCGTCCAAGCACCAAGGGGAAGCCGCGTAGTCCGGAGAGAAAACAACGATTGAGATCATCGAGGTCTCGATCACTCGCAAAAGGGCAGGCGAGATTTCTTCCCCTCGACTGAGCTGGTCGTCGATGAAGGTCCTGATCTGTTTATGAACCAGAGCAGCAAAGAGATGGCTGGTGAAGCTTTCCCGGGTATCGGAACCTCTGAAACTGAGGAAAACGTCGTGCTTGAATAGGGAAGCCATGGAACAAGAGGAGGATAAGATGGGGTGATCCCAAATCCCAATTCTGAAATTGATAACCAACAATGGAGTGGCTTGTTTTTCAGAGTTTTGACTTTGAGGGAACAAGTAGGTGGGTCTAGTTCGATTGAAATTTCCCGCGGTTGACTCGCCAAGTCAAAGTCCACGCCATTTGGTTTACACGGGAAAATCTATCACCTTTGGACACATTTTGGATGTATCAATTGCAGCCATTTCTTTCACTCGACGCGTCGAGTTCCTCTTCTTCTTCTTCTTCTCCATGCCAATCACTTGACTTATTTATGAATTATGATCCTAATGCCGCGTGCGTTCATAAGATAGCGATACAAGATACATACAGGGTTGATTATGGTTATGTACTTACGTTGGGTCGTCAAAGTAACTAAGAAAGAAATGGCAATGATAATGATGAGTTCTTTATTTTACATCCCATATTATGATGTTTTTAACAAATACATTCCTAGACTATTAGTTAAATGAATTTATGAGTGCTTGTTCTTGGCTTGGAATCACTATTAGTTAAATGAATTCGAATGTGTATACGAAAAGATAATCTATTCTCAATTCTATCCTAATGAATTTAGAATTCATTATTAATTAATTGGATTTGAATGTGTATAGGTGTACATACGTATTCATTCGGAGTTCAATTCTAATGAATTTTGAATTATAATGGATTGAAGGCTTCATACTTTTCTTTAGTAAACATGAAAATTATCTAAACTTGTTATCTAGTTCCTCCATGACAACTTGACATACAAGGGTAACTTTGCTATGAAGCCCAAATACAAATATAGACATTGGCCCACGGGGTGGCATACTCAAAAGAAGGGTTTGTTGGATCGTCGCCAGCAGTCGAAGATGAGGCCTTCGACAAGGCCCATATCAGGTCGCGATCTGGGATCCTCGCCCAGACAATACAGCCCCAAACGCATCGCCTCCTTCGCGACCTCCACTGGGAACAACCCATTCAGCCTCCCGTCCACCCAACCCCGCACCATCTCCTCGTCGCCGGCCTCCGCCGCCCTCGCCGTCTCCATGATCGACTTCCGCACGTAAACCTTGTCGACGTCATCATAACGGTAAGTCACCGGCTCCGCACCCGAAATCAGCTCCAACAGCAGCACCCCGAATGCGTACACATCCGATTTCCGCGTCGCCAACGACCCCCCTCGCCGAACCTCCGGCGACATGTAGGGGTTCTCTTCCTCGTCTACTTCTTCAATCCCCTCTCCTCCGCCCCATCCAACGTTGTCGTCGGCAGCCTCCCCTGCAACATGAGCGAGGCCGAATTTGCAGATCAAGGGTTTGACGGCGGCGCCGCCGCTCAAAGGTAGGAGAATGATGTTGGAGGTCTTGATACGGTTGTGGACGAGGAGGGCTTCGAATCCGGTCATGTGGTGGATGTAATTCAGGCCGCGAGCTACTCCCACCGCGATGTCCATCCTCGATTGCCACCTACCGAGGTAGAGGCTGTAGAGATCGGTCGTAGTCGTACTCCTGCTGGTCAAACAATCGGAGAGGGTTGCGCCGTTGACGAAGGGGTACATGAGGTTGACGCACGGCTCCTTCTCGGACATGGAAGCCCCGATGAGCTGGACCACGTTGGCGTGGCGGATGCTGCCGATGACTGACAAGTGCTGTTTCAGCTTCTCCCGGGTGATGGTGGGAGGGAACACCCGGCGGAAGCCGATCGCGTCCTTGCCGCGGAAAGTGCAGCGATAGGAAGAGGATGAGGAGGAGGATTGTGGGATGGATAGGGAGTGGGAGGAGGATGATGAAGAAGAAGAGGAAGAGATGGTGAAGAAGAAGCTGGAAGTGTCAGAGGAGGAAGCCCTGGACCTGGAGGAGAGATCGGAGTTGGAAGGAGTGGCGCCGGAAGCTGCTGCTATCGCCCTGGGAGTGGCCGGAATGTATTGTGTTTGGGTTGGGCGGGGTCTGGGGCAGTATCGCGGGAAAGTACGGGATTGGAACACTGACGCGTTGGGATCCTCCTGCTGCTGATCACCCTCAGAGTCAGAGACCTCAACTCGAATCTCGGCCATTCCCTTTTCCCCCAAATTTCGGTCAAACTCTACCTCTGCCTTGTGGTTAGGTTCAAAAGGACCAAAGACTGATGGATAAAATATAACAGAGCAAGCTGCGAAAAATTGCTGCTTTATAGTGGAGAATGTGAAGAGAGCTGAGCTGGGTTAATTTAACAGTGGCCTGCTAGGAACCTGCGTTTTGTTTTGGCGAGTTAAATTCTGGAATGCCGACCATATTTAAGTTGGAAAGATACAGACACGGTTTCCATCATAGTCTACTCTTTGTTGTGTTAAGGCAAGGGAGACTTTTCAGTTCAAGTGTGTCCAGTGTCCTGTTAAGGAAGTTGCCTTTCGCCAAGGACACTTATAGACGGCATAGAAACAAATAACTGAGCCTGCATTGACAAGATCAAATAATATGGAAAACAAAGCAAGCAAACTGAACTTTGCAGGCCTACTTTCTGCTGCTGCTGAGGAGCTGAAAGATGCGATCATTGATGGGGAACAAGTATTTGCCCCTCCAATTAGCGTCCAGGGCGCTGAGAAGGACACTCGCGACCTGTCTGCTGATCTCGACCTAGTGCCTCCTGCTGCTGCTGGAAAGAACGAAAGGGGTGCTGCAATCGAGGCTAGCAGCCGCTGCCACTGCGACACCGTGATCCCTGAGTGAAGAAAGCAGTGGGAACATCAGATTGAGCTTGAGCCTGTTCCCTCAAGTTGGCTTCATACTCGACTAGTGTGTCAAGAAGATCCTTCACCCAGACCGGTTTCCCTTTTGCTCAAACGGCTGCAGAGAACTAGTTAAACTCGAGTCCAAGACCATGAAGACAAAAAAGAAATAAACAACAAGATCCAAGTCAGAGACAAGAGGGTCAATCAAAGCAAGCTCGGCTGCCAAGAGCTTCATCTCGTGGATATAGGAGGTTACATCACGGTTACCCTTATTGGTTCGAGCCAATCTGTCCTTAAGATTGACAATACGAGACTGGCAATGAAACCAAGGTGGTCCAGACCCATTAGCAACGTATCGATCTGAGAAGCACAAGAAGGAAGGTTGTTTGGTGTCAGCTTCAAAGGGCAGCTGGGTTGCTGGATTGAAGGTAATCAATGAATCTTCTGTCGACGAAGAACCATCGTCACCAGAAACATTGGAGCCTGAACTCATGATTTCAGGTGGTCAGACTCTAGCTGTATGTGACTAGCTCCGATACCATTTTTTGTATTAGATTTGAACGTACATTACTACACTCCATTGATACAGTAATATGAATTTATACATCTTTATACAGGAATTATAGCTAGACAAAAATACTGAAACGCAGCTGGTATACGAGAAGATAAGTACATAAATACAGACATAAAAGAACAGAGGAATAAAATTCTTTATTCCTCATCTCTAACAGAGGGTACGTCCAACGGAAGGCGATGGCTTCTTTGCCATGGAAGGTGGAGCGGTAGGAATGTTGCTGAAGGTTTTGGGCCAAGAACATGGTGGTCGAGGATAAAGAAGATGAAGAGATGGTGAAAAAGAAGCTGGATGCGTCCGACGAGGAGGAAGTCCTTGACCTTTCGTAGTCGGATGGCGTGCTGCCGGACAGGATGTAGTTCCTGACAGCCCTGGGAGTCGCTGGAATGTATTGGGTTTGGTTTGGCCGGGGTCTGGGTAAGTATCGTGGGAAAGTGCGACATCGGAACAATGAATCATCAATGGCATTCTGATGCTCATCGTCGAGATCCATCGCCATTACCTCTGGCGGGCAAACTCTACCTAGCTGGTGGTTATTCTGCCAGAGGATACTCGCCAAGGTTTTTAAGGGGTAGAGTTGGGGTCACGCGGCCCCTGGAAATTTAAGGCAAGGGAGACTTTTGTAGTTCCACACTACACTAGCGCTACTAACTTCCAAGTCAAGTCAAGTCAAGTCAAGTGTGTCCCGCACTCCCGCTAAGGAGTGTTAAATGAGAGGTCTAGACAGGGAATAGAAACAAATACTGAGCCCACATTGACAAGACAAAATCAACAACGAGGGAAAGACTGAAGATGGAAAAGTAACACAGCAAGCAAAGCAAACACGCGGTTTTCCTATTAACTATCACGATCCTATTTGCGTCTTTATGCAGGCCAATAAGCAACAGCCAACTCTCACTATCACCAGTTCACCACTACAAGGATCGACAGCTTAATCTGGTGCCTGCCACAACATCAGTCTACCGTATTCTACAAGGAAGATTCTTCCTACTTCCCCCTTAGGCAATGCCCTCAGACGTGAAGTTTCTGAGAAGAAATACCTTGAATGGGAAAATTCAAGGACAAATGTAAAGAGGCTGGAAAATCCAGAAAGGCATCAGAACTTCAGAAGACAGGTTCAGAGAACATGCGAAATGGGCACCACCCATTTGCACTTTAGATGTTGAGAAAGGATCGATGTTCTGGCATGCATGCAGCATATCAAGGGCTCATATGCTATAAGGCACTTCCATTGGCAATGAAACCACAAGAGCATTTCACATTCTTACCAAAACTTTCACTGGTGAAACAATTGCGACAGCATTCTGATATAACAGGAACCACACATCAACCAGCATAATACCATGACTATGTATTCATATGGACTGACGTCTGAAAACTATGTCTTTTTGGAGCTATGCAAATGCAGACAAACAAGACAAGTTCCAATGCACTTATTGATGGGAATTGGACTGCAACACTCAGGATTTCCAAATTTACCCGAGTCGGGATCTTCAGATTATTACTCTTTCTTTGCTGGTTCCCAGGACTGGTACCTAGTCCAGTTTTTCTGCCCCGGATTGAGTGCATGTCCTTTAGAGTGGTAAATCTGATCTTCACCTTCTCCAGAGAGATTCTCCCTGTGAGCCACGCCATACCTCTTTGGCCTTAGCATCAAAAGCTGAAAGAACAAGAACTACTTAGTAAAAGCAAAAATCAGACCAGCACTTCCTTTAAACTTAGAAAAGATGACCGATGCTTACCTCATCTCCAGTATGATCAGTTATAAAATGAAGCCAACCATGCCATTCTGGTGGCACCTGAGAAGCATTATATCGACCTTTCTCTGCATATTCAACCCAACGGTGCCTCCCTATAAAATTACACCATCGCATAAGTTATGAGAAATACACACGAGGAGGCTTAAATATGAGCAGTTCTGAACACTAACTAGATAATGCGTGTCTCTCACAATCTAAAATCTCACTATTCTAAATCTAGGAAAACTTGCAGAAAGACAACATACAGAATTCCTGAGCAATAACTTTAGCTTATGCAGATGATAGATAAGGAACAATAAGTACAGACCATATTGGGTATCTCCCAGCTTCTCATAGTACTTGTTGCCGAATTTGTCGACCCCAACAACTGTTGCCCCTATATTGTGGATTTTGGTTTGCCTATCAACAAATTCCCAGTATAGACAGGCATATGAGTTTGCATAGCAACAGAAGGACAGGTGCTGAAAAATAAGGGGTCCATCAACATACAAGATGACCTTGCACATCGAGAACCATAACAAAATTCAAACGAGCAAAATTTAACTTACAAAAGGTTCCCATCCAAAATGCACTTCCTGTCCAACAATAGCATCGTGAGTAAGAGTGAAAAACAAACAAGTAGAGTAAGCATGTACCTCAGAAAATCATTGAATACGGGTGTCAAGAAATGAAATCCAAATATCCTGGAAAAGAAAAAGAAAGATCTGGGAGTGGAGTGAGACATACAAGTAGCCTTCGCCTCTCAGCTCCCGCAAGAAGCCACCAACGCCTTTCTCTTTGATAGCATTCACCACACCCTTCACCACTGAAGCCATTTCCAAGCCTGTCCTGCTCCTTTTATGTGTATCTCTCTAGTCTTCACTTCCTGAGCTCTCTTTACAATCTCTGTACCCAACAAAAGAAACAAACAAGTAGAGATCATCATTACTCAAATTTGAATCAACTCATTGATTGATCAAGTGGGAACAAAGCTATCTCAACCAAATGCCCAAAGGGACTCTATGTTAATGCAGTCGAATCAATCTACAAGCTCCATCCAACGTGGCCATCTAACAACAGTATTCATCTTGAAAGGCATAACAAGAATTTCTCACGCTTCAATCTTCGCTCACCTCTTACCTTTCCTTAAATGTTAAATAGATTGAACCCCATATTAGATATCACAGAAAAACAGAACCATCAGAAGACGCCCTACCCAGAATCGGCATTAATCGATTATTGTGTATATTAACAACCACAGCTAAAACCGAGCAGCATTTGTTCCCTTGCAGTTCCGGATCAATCTCAGCCTAACGAATTTTATAAGTAGATTTTAATTCCAAACCCCACAGCCCTTCACCTCGGTATCATTAGGCAGTCACAGCGCTATGCTTTGGAACTCGAAAAGATATTGACTAGCTCCCGAACCAAAAATGAGAGCTAGAAAATCCCAAATTTCCCATCTCTCACAGAACGAAACACCCCGCGCAAACATGAATCAGAACACGACTGATTGTAAAGGCAATCTCGCCACATCTAATTCATAGTTTCAGCTACGTAATTTTGTTTAGGGATGGAGGAGGAAACGTCGACTCTCTTCCAATGATGGAGGGACAGAAATCATATGGAAAGATCTCACGTCCGACGAGAAATTACAGAAGCGGTTCGAGGAAATCAGCAGATTATGAAAGAGTAGAGAAATCGATATCGTACCAGAAATTGCGCCCAGAAACCAATCGATCTACGTAAGGAGAGGATGAGGAATCGCCCGGGATAGCCAGGAGCCGAAAGACTCCGCTTTGACAGGTTAAAATGAAACAGAGAACCAGGATGGACGAGACGAGACGATAAATTAACGATATATCGCATAAAGAACAAATAATCGCGACATGGCCATACGAAACGCGATACCTAAGAGTGAAACGTCGAAGCGCAAAACGTTTCAAATTAGCAAAACCAAAAACGAAAAGCATTAAATTGCCAAAAATTTGAACGACCGGAAAAATGAACGGGAGTGGCCGAAAACTATGTCTTTTCGTTGATTAATGATCAGAGAAGGTCCAGTAACAAAAAGAAGAGCTCATGTAAGAAGTGAATATAAGAAATCATAATGATAAGTGAAAGAAGGAAGAGAAATCAATCGCCCGGAACCTTGAACGACGCTGGTCGGAGCAGTGGCGGAGCCACTTAAAGAGGAAGAGGGGTGCTTGCACCCCCTTGAGTTTGGAGAGAATCAGTGACCATTCAGTTGGTCGGAGCCACTTGGAAAGGACAAAGGAGGGGGTTGCTTGCAAGTTGCACTCCTTTGGTTTGGAAAAAAAATTCCCAGAATAGGAGTATATATAAATTCGAACGAGTGACCATTCAGTTGCAAGAAGAATTTGTTATCATCTTGGCCGAGTGAGTTTTATTATGCAATGCACTTTCGTCTTTATTTATAGTAATAAATTGTAGTCTTTTGTTTAAACTCGCTCATTTCTTTTGTAGCTCTACAACAGAGAATTTATTGTCATTTGTTTAAACAAAACTGAAAGTGAAGAAGTACCAATTGAAGTTCACTTGTTTGTTTCACAAAATCAATTCTAAGGTACTTCTGAGTTCTAATTTGTAATATTTGATGAATGGGAGTCTTGACTTGTATGTACTGAACTTATTTGTTTGACGTTATAACCGGTGTACGTGAAACTATTTTAATGTAATTGTATGAATTTAGAGTATTGCGTTGTTGACTTTTTGTTTCATTTAAAGTTGACTTTTCTATTGTATATGTGATTTTTATGATATGATAAAAGATATCCTTTGGCCAATTTTCTGGCTTCGTCACTATGCGGAGGGAGACAGGGTTGAAAATGGGAGGTTGACGACGAGTAAGAGCACTTAACCGGCAAAGATATTTAGGGGTCGTTTGCTTGTTGGATTTGAAAAATGAGGGTTTTGGCCAATAAAAACCTTGGGATTTATGATGGATTTATTGGATTATGGATTTGAAGAGTCTAACGTTTGCATGATAGATTTGATGATGGATTTGTTAAATAAATAACTAACCATCAAGGATTTGCAAATACAAAATCAATATGTGGGATTTACAAGTCCGTGGGGTCCACGAATTTGGTTCTAAAATAAAGACCAAATTCGTGGACCCCACAGATTTAACACCCTTCAACAAACAATGGACTTGTGTTAAATCCATCAAGCATGGGATTTGGGTACCAAATCCACGACTCAAATCCAACAAGCAAACGACCCCTTAGTTATTTACCGTTTCAGTTCCGAGCACCTATCAGCAATTGCTCCGTCGCCCCTCTCCGGCCGGCGGCGCCGAGCTATCTTCTTATCAAGATGATAAGTCAATACTCAATACCAATCGGTTCATTTTGTCAAACCACACATTCCCAGAAATTTCCCTGTAATCCTCCACTCCACAAAGTCAAGTCACTTCTCATCTCTGTCCACACCATCTCTGTCCACACCGTCCTTAATTAACACATCACTTTATATATCAGATTCTCGGTAGAATTTCTATCCTTGTGAGAGTTATATCCCACCACCATCCCAATGGAGTTCGACGAATTACATGAGTATGCGAGCTTCCGATCTTTCCCGGGCTACTCGCGCCGGATTCGAGGGACTCGTCTCCAACGAATTCCGGCGACGCCAAGGCTGCTTATTGGCTTCACCACTGGAACCTCTCTCAGCAGCATCGACCCTTCCGCAGACTCTTCAGCCTCCGACACTCCAAACGTCGATTACAGCAACCCGACCACAGCGACATCCTCCTCGACCGGAACGCCGAGTGTCGGGTACAGCTACCCGACCACGGCGACCTCCTCCTCAGGCATAACGCCGGACTCTGCTCCCGACACCACCTCCCCCGTCGACAACAACAACAACAACTTAATGTGCTGGCACAACAGTTCCCTGCACGGAATGGGAATCGCCTTGGGAGTCTTCCAATCTTGTCGCCAAGGGACTCCGAATTTCGGAGGACTGCCATCGGTGGTTTCCAGGTGCGACCATGTCGCCGTTATCGAACTTCCGGGAGCTTCAGTTGCTGGCGTCAGAATCTTACTCGTTCACGAATTCGTTAATGGCGACCCGAATTTGAGCGCGGTAGATCTCTTGAGGAGGTCGATGACGACGGATCCCAATTTCACCGCTCTTTCTACTTGGATTTCCCGATTGAACATCGCCGCCGATGTGGCGCGAGGGCTCGACCACATCCACAACACCAACGGACTTCGCTCCATCCTCCTCGGCTCCGAAACTGTTAAATCCAGTAGCATCATCGTCTCCGTGGGCGGCGAATTAACGGGCGAGTTTGGAGATCGCCCGAATCAGTTAGGTATCTCGCCAATCGATGGAATTAGGTCGTCGTCAATGAACCACGACGAAGCAATCGCAGCGGTGGCGGAGACGAACCAAAGATCCGACGTGTACGCATACGGCGGTTTGATACTGGAGCTGATGTCGGGGGAAGCGCCAAGGGCGGCGGTGATTGAGGTGGCGAGAGCGGTGGTGGACGGGAGAGTGCTCAAGTGGATGTGGAAGGACAGGCGGATGGAAGACTGGTTCCCGGATAAGTTAGTCGAGAAGCTGCTGCAGATCGCGGTGAATTGTCTGGAGGAGGACCCTGGGAAGCGACCGTCAATTGCCGCCGTCGCTGGGAACATTTACAGGTTGTGCTTGGAATCGAGGGAATGGAGTAACGGAAGTGGAGATTTGTGGCAGGGCCTGCACCAGCGGCCGGTGGTTCCGGGCGTTTCTTTGGCGGCGATGCGGGACATCCACGGGCTTATCTATTGAAAATTGGCGGGCTCGACTATAATAAGCCCAGGAGTGTCTCTGTTAGGCCGCTAATACGAGAGGGTAAATTGGGCCTCCGCTGGGCCTAGGTAAGCTTGCACTAAATCTCTTGAGTAGGATTTTATTTATTTCTTCTATTTGTCAAACTTTATCAATTATCACATGTTGTTAGATTGTACAATCTCAGCTTATAAATAAATATATGATTTATCTACTCAAACTTCTTAACCACCAAACTATGTTGTACAATTGTGTACTTGATGTGAGATGGTAACTTCTCGTTGTATGCGTTGTCATGTCAGCTATTATTCTTATGAATCAAAGTTAACCTTTAATGATGTGTATGATTGAAAGAAATTTGAGATAACCTTCCTATGAATAGAAGTTACTAAACAAAAAAATTATCAAATTTAGAGAATAACAAAATATTATAACAAGATCTGTTTGATAATGCCTTAACAAGAGTTGTCAAACTTATAATCGGCAGGTGACAAGCCTTCTTCCAATCCTAATTCCAAACAAGATTTTTATTTGTTGTTTTCAAATATCCTTTCAACCATCCAAGTCCAACACCACGTCATCTAGATATAGAGGAGAACGATGTAAATGGACTGATGGTAGCCCTGAAGTCCTGAACAAATATATAATCACGACAATTGATAACACATTCACAACAGATCTAGAGTGAGATAAGGTTCTAGATTCTAACTCCAATAAAGTGTTTCATGAATCAAAAATACCAATCAATCAAATAATTCATTAAATACACCATTATCTGAAATATGTATTTGAAGAAAGTAGACAGACAACTCCAAGAGGGAGCGAACGAAACAATTAACACAAATAATCGATGACTTTCTCCTTCGTAGCTGTTGGCTAGGTGGGGTTTCAATAGTTGGAAGGTGAGATCCATATAGGTAGTGGCAAAATGAGTGAAGGGTTCTTATGGACTGAGGGAGTAGAGTAGAATCGGTTAATGGTACGAGTAGTGAGGTTATAAACGCCCATGTCAGCACCCGCATGCTTTCGCTCACAATCGACTTCTATCTTATCATCGGTGAAATAAATGGAGTTGGAAGCAAGTTCAGGGTGTTCTGTGATGGAAATCCAAGTAGCGGTGTTGGACCCCAAAAAGAGAGCAAAATTGCCGATGCTATCAACTTCATCCCATCCCTTCTTATCCTCCTTCGCCACAAAAACTTTGAATTCACAAGTCAACAATTGACTCTCCCTAACATACTCCCGTTGTTGCCGCCTACCATCGGTGGCCAACTGATCATCATCATCCGACTCATTATCAATATTAGAATGGTGGACTTCATCGTGGGGATCAAGTTCAGACACATCCTCATCATAATCATCATCGTCATAGTCATCATCATCTGTCCACTCATCGTCATCATTATTGTCATTGTCATCATCGTCATCGTCCTTGTCGTCTGGGTCCCTCACATACCTATTCACCATCATCAACTCGTTGTGGTTTGAGCTGGTTAATAAGTAGTACTTGCTACCTTTAACATCCAGAAGTTTATGCCCGTCAAGAAACAACGACAACGTTGGACAATGTGGGAGGGAAAGATCACAAACATAAACTTTCTCATCTTGAGAAAGGGCATAGAATTGACCTCTCCAAAACACAACATCCAGAAAATGAATCTGTTTGGGTAGATCAACATCATTCCCTCCGGGAATCAACGTCCATTTCTGATCACCATTAACCTTGCAAAACACCAGTGTACCGACAAGGGAGGGGATGACCATCACAACACTGTCCTCTGAGGTCGGCTCAGCCGAAAGGCAAACCCTATCTATGTAGTTAGACTCAAATTCCTTCTTCCCCCACGTTACTTGCAAACCTTCAAAATCTAGATGCAAGTATTCTCTCCCCACACTCTCAGACCGAAACTCCAACACATTAGGAAAACCCGTAGCTGGAGGTAGAGGGATTTGACACTTGGTAAAAGGGTTGAGCAACACCAACGATGGGGAGCTCTCCATCATAAACAGCCACCCAAATGCAGAGCCACGACCAGTCTTGTTCAAACCCTGGGGTAGCTCAATATGTTGAAACCTTTTCTCCTCGAGATCATAGAGACACCTGCAATATTCGGTGTTTTTACAGCCAACCGCGGCAGCACAAGTGTCGTTGTTGACGATACTGTTACGGCAGTAAGGAAGCATCAACCAAGGGATGGATTGGGAGAACCTTGACTGAGCCAAAGCTCGGCGCCAGGGGTTGCAAACCGCTTGGAGTCGGATGAAATCCTTCATTTTAGTTACGCGATTGCTAATCAAATGCAAAATCTCACCGGACAAATCCGACCAATTTGGTTCGTCCCGGGAGATCATCGTCGCATTACCACTCATCGTATAAAGTTGCTAGAGATCGACTGAGATGGTGGTGGTAATGGTATTCTGGCCAAGTAACGAACAGAGGAGGCCTCCCTCTGCCTATTTATATAGAGGGCCTTCATCGGTCAGTGATATCCGAGACCCAAAAGGAAGCGGTAACCCATTCTTTACTCCGTCGCTGTTTGGAGTTCCCACTCCTAAAAGAAATAGGACAAGACGGCGTGAAGGCGAGATTTGGATTGTTCCACTCTTTTTTGTGTTCTGAATTATACGCCTCAGAGATCCGGATTCCGAAGTCAATATATCAGCACTGAAAACCGGTGATGCGTACTGTGCCGTACAGAGAGGGGCTGGGCCTGGCTTGCGAAATACCCACGAAGTTCGGTCCTACACTGCGCGTAGGGAGTGAAGTGCTCAATTCCAAGAGCTACTCATGTAAATGACGAGGATTAGGAGAGTTGTGGGTTTATGGGGTTATCAATATGTTTTGTTCCCTACACCTCCTTCTACCTAGCCCGTGCCAGCCTCGGTCTCGCCATCTGTTGATATGACTTGAATCGGACTATCAGCCGCTACGACTTGTAATCGGGGTGTATGGGCTCAATGTTATTTGGGTTCGGGTTCTGGGCCTGGTCTGTAAACCGTTTCCTTTGGCAGATTAGATTAGGTTTAGACCCACATGGAGAAGTACTATAAATACTTCTCATACTCCTCTGTAATCTGTAATCTACTCAATATAGTGAAACTGGCTCTCTCTCGCCCGTGGACTAGCTAACACACATCGTGTTAGTGAACCACGTAAATCGTGTGTTTGTGTCTTTCGATTCTCGCTTTCGTATTCTTGCTTTGTCGATTCCGGCGATTTCCCGATCCGTAGCATCTTTGGATGAACAGGGCGCTGCAACGATGTTCATTCCGCCGATAGCGAGCAAGCCCATTCTCGTCTCTCTACCTTGCCGGCGTGGCGCCATAGCGATGTCGATTACGCAGTGAGGTTGATTCTACCTCAGCAATGCCGATGTCGCCGGCGTCTCTCTACATTGGTGGCTGGATCTCCACCCCTTGACAACTTGGATCTCCACCCTTATCGTCTCTCTTGTCTCTTCATTAAGCGGTGATGAAGATGAAGATTGTTACAAAGGGAATTGTTACAAAGGGAAGCAAAATGGCAATGAGAATTGTTACAGATATGTAGCAGTAATTTTCAAATCTGTAGTTCTAATATTTCCAAATTGTGGTAGTTATCCTCAATGACAATGGTTTATAGTAGTATTGATTTTGCAGATCTGATAAAAGGATTATGGCGCAGTATTGGTTCTTAGGTAAATTTTTTTTTTTTAAGATAAGTGCACAGAAAATATAAATGATACAAGAAAATTCATAAACCACCACTAATAACAGTTACATCACTACAAGAAAATTGCTAAATCACTATAGGTAATAGTTAAATGGTCACTAAAAAGAATCTAAAATCGCTACTATATAACCATCAAAACAACTACTAATTTAATTAGTAGTAATTCTTGAGCAGTAAGATTTTTCATGTAATAAATATGATAAATACAATATAATAGTCAAATATTTTATTTCAAATAAAATAATAGCTAAATTTGTTCGAAAATAATTTAATAGCCAAACCGTTAACTTTCCGTTCGGTTGACTGTTAGTTGACTTTGACGTGACAAATTAATGATGACGTGACAAAAAATTTATTTGACTGTTCCACATTGATATATATTAATTTTAATTAATTAAATATTTAAAATAAAATTAAAAAGAATTCGGAACCCTGGTATCACTTCTCTTCCCCTCCCTCCCTCTCCTCCATCCAACAAGACTACATATTTCTCTTCCACTCTCTCCCATAACTCGAATCCATATATGGAGATTGAACCCTCCGGCGAATCCTCCCCTCATATCCAAGTGTTTGATTCCGTTCCACAAGCTTTGATTAGAGAATCTCTCTTGAGACATAGACATGTAGTAGCCAGCGAAACAGGGCAGGATTGGCGGTGGAGGCTCTTAGCGGCGGAGCCAGAAAATTGATCAAGAAGTGTCTTTGTTCATACCTAAAAAAAATTAACTCTTAAAAAAAATAAAAACTAACAATATAATACTCAAAATTCGTATTATTACATAATAATAGTACAACGCACACTGTTTACATCTGTAAAATTATGTGTAAACGATACGAGAGACAACGATTTTACGTGGTTCTTCCTCACAGTGGGTGAGGCTTACATCCACGGGAATAGGAGACTTGTGTTATTGATGATTACGGCTTATTGCCGTGGTTACATATTTATACCCATTGTCACTAGCATCTAGGGTACAATTCTTACGTACACAAGAAGCAAAAGGAATAATTGAATCCATGTCCTTGTAGAACACGGCTGCACTGGTTGCATGAGCAACATGGGCAGCAACCTCACGATGGACGTGGGCATCACAAGTGTGGGCCGGATAGGTACAGCCCAATACTCCCCCGCAAACTGACACATGAAGATCCCGAATGTGCAGTTTGGAAAGAAGGGAATGAAAACGATCGGAACCAAGTCCTTTGGTGAAGATATCGGCAAGCTGCTGATCAGTGTGGATCTTGACTGGAAGAATATCACCGGACATGACACGTTCACGAACAAAGT